TGAGCAACCTGATCTAGCTTTGAAGTTGGTGCTGCTCAGAGAAGGAAACCGGATTAGGTGACCTTGAGACATATCTTTCAATGTGAATTAGTTTCTGATTTTGTGGGTCTAAGTTATCTTATATTTGCAGATATTCGGGGTGGGTAGGAGAAAATGTGCTCAGAAACATTTTATTTCCCTTAAAACTTCTGGCAGGAAACAACCTGATTACATATTTAGTGTCCATTTTAATAGCTACAAGTCATTCAGTTATTTGTATCATATTTAATAATGTAAATTTCTTTTTAAAATTCTTTAAAAAATGTATTTTTTTAATCTTTCCTATTCTTTCATTTTGCCCCTGTTGCAGCTCAGGACAAAACAGGAAAGGAATTAACCCCATTTGAATGCAAATAGCAACTCTTTTTTTTTTTTTTTTTTTTTTTTTAAGAGCAGTAGGTTGCAACTCAGATCTCTAGAACGACTGCTAGAACAATGAGGAGCTGAACGACATATGGTGAACTATGTACATACTGTTGCCACTGTGATTAGAGTTCCTAGGTGCCAAAGTTCTGTACATAAGTTTTTCTAGAATCATTCTACATGTTTGCAGAGCAGAGTTGAAGCACAGGATTTACTCGTATGAAAAGTAATTGGCCAATGAAACTAATGGAAATAATGGCCAATTAGAAGAAAACTATATATGTAACTGCCATGCATGGTAAGAAAATTAACCTGTTTTTTTTCTTTTCTTTTTTTTCCTTTTTTTTTCCTTGTCCCTTTATTAAGCTTTTTCTTACTGCTGCAATATATGGAATAAAATCCAGTATGGCAGTCTCACTCAGTTCTTAAACCTGATTCATCTCTAAATTAGGCCATGCTATACAGAAATTAAGGAAAAGTGAAAAAGAAAAGAAATGCAGTTGTGACTGCATAATTAAAAGCTATATAAAAATGACTATTCAGAGAGAGCTAAACTATGCTTATATAAGCAGCTTTAATACTGGCATCTCTTGGTACTGGAGCGTTTGACTTTCAAACATCTAATTTTTGTGTCAAAAGTACACCCTTATGATTTAATATATTAAATGTAACCTTTGTATGTTATTAGGTACAAAAAAGAAAGATGTTAAGAATTACACACAAACAGAAACTATGTAATTATTTTAAGAAATTGTATTCTTGATCACATTCCCATAGTACTCTAGGGACTACAGCAAAGAGATACCAGAGCTCAGCCAGGCAGCACTGAGAGGACAGCTCTTGTATCCAGTCACATAAGTAGGGTCGCATGCAAGGAGAATCAAAAGCAATGGCATAAGGCTGGGATCATGTGCAGCAAGGGCTGCTTTGGACCCTGAACCCCAGTTGATCCCTCAAGTCCAGTACCCCGAGTCCAGGCTCTGCTTTGACTCCCAGTAATTGATGGCTGCAGCATCTCTATGCTCCCATACTTGTCATGGGACCAGTGCAACTTCAACCATGCATTTTTTGGTGGTGAAAAAAATGTCTACGCATTTTTAAGCTAAAAATTATAGTTCTTATTCTGCTTCTACTCTGCTTGCAAATGCCTTGTAGCAAGAGTGCTGCTTTATCATTACATGAACATTTGCAAAACTGTCTCTTCTGAGGTTTTTACTTGGAAGTTGCAGCTGAATCCCATAGAAGTAAATAGGAGTTTTGTCTGAAGAAGAAAGTAAAAAATGCTAAACAGATTTTTTTTTTTCAAGATAGCTGAACCTAGTCCCTTGTGTCCTTTCTTGATATATTTAACCAAAACACTGAAATATTACATTTTCTTAGAGAGATGCTTTCTCTTATGTTTTCTTTTTTTGTTTCACTAGTGTTCTTCAGATGTTTCTTACTCAAGACAAGAGGTTATGCTTTTCGTATGCTACATTCACTCAGCCACAGGCCAAAATAAATATTACCACTCCTGAAACCTTAAATTCCTACTTATACTGAGTACGGCATTTACCAACAAGCAAAACAACACAGAGACTTTCTAAATACTATTGAAAAGTAATACTGAAAAGTAAGTCTGAGAAGTGGGTTTTCTAGGTATTCATTCAGAGATACACATAACAATGAAAGTTAAGAACAAGTGATTGCACTTCCTCCTTGTTAGAAACCTTTGCCATAAATATTCCAGCTTGGTGTGAAAGTGTTTCAGCAAAGACAACCATGCCTCACAGAGAGAAAGTACCTAGTGTGATGCCATTTTCTAGAAGATATATAGGATTGTAATGGTATATAATGCAAACTGATTTGCATGGCTGTTAACTAATAATCCTTCAGACTACTCCGTCCCTTTAGACATGACTACCTCATTGTTCTAAACATCTCTGAGATTTTTCAGGCCTTTTTCAGTGTAATAAAAAGAAGCTGTAAAAATGTCAAGACCTCTGCCCCCATACCTAAAATCAAAAGGATGAAGCTAGCAAGGCTTTTGCAATAAGGAATATTAACACTTGAAATACGTCTTCTCCATTTTATCAGGAGGTGGTACAAAAATTGATGCACATACACAGAGAATAAAAGCTGTTCTCAAAACTTAAAAAAAAACCCCAAACCTTTATTTTGTTTTGTAAAAAGCTATAAATTATACATATAAAAATAAACTATACCCAGCTGAACTATTATTGGGCTCTAATTTCAACCTATGAATTCCTAAAGCCATGCTACGCAGGATCCTCTCTCATCATTTACAACCTCAGAGGCATCCCTTTGGTACTTACTTAAAGGTTATCTTTTATTCTCTATTTAGAACCAATTCAAACTCAGAGCTTTTTGCAAGGTTCTATGTGCCATTCCAAACAAAAAAAAATACACAAGAGAATCATTACAGATTTGAAGTAGCAGTTATTTCCACATGAAAATATAAAACATAAAGAAGATTCAGTGCTAGACGTATGAGTTAGACTGAGATACATAAAACTTAAAATGATCCATCTATAAAGCCGTTGGATCCTCTGAAGGATCTAGAACAAGAGGGCAAGTTTTATCCACCCAAAAAAGTTGGGTATCTTTCCATGAGACATATATTTTTAGTCGTTAGATCTGATAATGTGGGAAAGTTCTGATGTACCATAAACAGTTGAAAGGGAGATGAGAGCCATGTTCTATATATGAATTTGACCTTTTGTAGATAATGAGTTAATCTGTACCTATTTCTTAAATCTGTTTTCTAGGAACTTTTCCTTTTCTCCCTCTCTTTACCAATGCTGTTGGTCTGAAAAACAGCTGAAGTGGAAGAAATATACTCTACTGGTTCTTTCAAGGCAGATGTTCTTACAGGAATAAATAACACCTCTAAAGACTTTGTATACATATATATATATGCATGTATAAAATATAAATAAAATCAAATTTTAACTGCATCCAAATATAAGCGTGAAATATATGATTTATTGGGAAACACTTTGGATGACAAAGCCTCAAGATTTTTTCCAAAAAATCAGTTCCAGGTTTAGATGCTGGTTTAGCCCATTTTTATTTCAACCAGCACTTAATATTCTTAAGATTTTTTTATACTTATCACTAGACACTAAAAGTGTTCAAACAGCTGCTTCTCTTTTCTCCCTCCCTTCTAGCCCTCTTTTACTTCCCCAGACACAATTAGCATCCCAACATTTACAAGTTTAGGAATGCAGGTGGAAAGAGGGTGGATTGGATTGAGTACAATTGTAAAACAGGTGTCTGTTTTGTTATATACATTAGTTCACTTAACAATATAGAAAGCATTTTAACCAAATAAAAGGTAATATATGCAAGTTCTTTTACTGACTATGTTTTTGCCAAGCTTTTAATGAGATTGGGCCTGTATGAAGGTATAAATCCTAGAAAGTGTAATGTTTCACCTGCAGAAGATTACCTTGCACCCTCAGGAAATTAAATTCTGATCCTTTTGAAGTCTGCATCTTTTGAAGAGCAGAACACATGGAGATGAAATATCCCAGTCTCTAGTATTTTTTGTACTTTGAGGGTGATTTGAGAGAAAATACAGGTAAAGGAAGTCTCCTTGCCTCATTATTCTTCCTATAATTGTGTTTAACTTTCTGCATCATAACATATCAGTAACTCACAAAGGATCAGAGAATTGCATCTGTAATTTACAGTTGAGCTAAACTCCCTTTAATCAGGAAAGGCAATTAAATATGTGAGTCAAGAAGAGAATGTAATCTCTTTCACACGTGGGAATCTCCTTGATGGTCGGTTCACACCACTGTGAGCATAACTTTGCATAGACAGCAATATTTAGACCCAGCTGAAGCTTATTACTTTAACAAAATAATTTGTTACCACTGCTAATCTTTTATCCCACAAATTGCCAGTCTTTTGGAAATTCCTTAGAATGCAGGAATTTTGGTTTGAGGTGTTGGTTTGAGCCTATTACAAACTGGCACTCAATGTCCTATCACTTACAGAGTCAATAAAAACCTATAAATACATCATTTGTAGTAAAATACATTTTCCCTGTGGATTTTGACTGTGTATATGTGTTCCATCATAACATTCTGACCAGATGCATAAAGCTAAATAACACTGCAGTAGCCAGATGGCTATTATTGAACCTCAGTTTACATTTTAATTTAATGAAAGACACCTTGTTTTACAACTATTATGCTGCAGTATAAGACCCTAAAAGGAATCCAGCTAAGTAACAACAAGCTAAATGGTACAAAAAAATCTGTTTATCCTTGAGATTGTAATCTCTTGTACTCATGAAATCACTAATTAGTACCTCTCATAATGGTGAAATTTGCATTTCAGAATTAGAGTGGGCAAAATAAGGTAATTTGCTTTTAAAATGTATACACCGTTATTATTGTGGGCATCAGAAGGTATATGTTCATTACTGTCTAGATTAAACATTTCTAAGCACCCAGAATACTCCAAATTTCCACCATACTACCCTCATTCTAATAATACTAAGGGGATGAGCAAAATAGAATATAGCCTTTCAACTGGGGTGTGCTAACACAGTGCTGATGGCTTAAATGTATCCAGTGGTAAATTACCTTTGAAAGGTCGCCAGCCTCCAAATAGAAGCAGATAACAAATATGTTCCACGTAACCCAAAGGACCAGCCAGCCAGCATACTACAAGGAGGAAGAGAGAAACAATGCATTAATAATTTCACTATCAATTGAGTTAAGTTCATTACACCATTAGTTCAATCCAAGACAAAAACAGCCTATAAATATGGTGCATATGAATAAAAATGTTACATAGAAAAGAGAATCAAGAATAAATTCTTCCCTTTCACAGACACAGTCTAGAGAGACCTAGTGAGTACTCAGTCACCCCAGAAAATCAGTAGCTGAGAAAACAGTTGATAGATTTGACAATTGAATTTGAGACTAATCTGGAGCTCTTATCATTGTTCAAATGGGGAATATTGCAAGGTCAAGAGAGGCAATATCAATTAGATGTGAGAAGTGCAAGGCTGTATCTTCAAATGTTTATTAAAATATAGCTTACTAAATAATAATGTCTAATTGGAGGAGGCACTGGATTGTGCAGCTCTTCAGAATTAGTCTCAAGAAACTTAACTTACATATATAAACTCAAGAAAATAAATTTATTTTGTTGGTGTGTTTGTTTTGTGTTATGGTGTATAGGAGAAATACTCATGCTTAAGCAATATCTGTTCATTTGTGGTTGATAAATTCTTATTCACCTATTTGGAGTGTATTTTTTCTCTCCAACTGTCTACTACTTTGCTTCATTCCTGTATTCATAATACCTTATGTACTAGGACTGGAAACTACATTTCCCTGCTGTAATGCTAGAGGATCCTGTTAATAATGTTTGACCTGTTGTTGCTACTCTTATCTAATGTTTGTGCTTGAGAACTTCCCTTGACAAATTACTGTGATCTACAACTGCCTTTCTAATGGTTGCTCTACCTATCCTCTAGCTGTTCACAGTTCAGTTCCACGTTTGCTAATTTCATTCCATAGACCCATGGCACTGCTTATGTGTGAAACATGACAGAGACACGACACTGTTTCCTACCTGTGATAGCTGAGGGTCATTTCCTCCTCCTTTCTCTCAACTATTTACAGACTTACTCTTTTTGTTTTGTTGTCGTTTCTACAAACTGTACTGATTACATTTTGTAAACAACTTTTCTAAATTGGGAAAAAACCTTTCCTGCACAGCCCAGTATTCTGAATAAGCAGACAATATCTTAGACTGGACAATGCTCTTACAAAAACAAAAACAAACGAACAAACAAAACAAAACAAAAAAACGACAAATAATAATTGTTTGTCATGAATGACAATCTCATTTTATAAACTCAGTAACAACCTATGTAGGATTCTTCTTGCATTTCTCTTGGAAGGGCTGTTTTATATCAGGTTGTCTATCATTCAACATGCCAATTTCAACTTAATATTCTAGATACTGTGAAAATAATACAGGTCTGTCCTTTCTCAGGAGATCTAAAGTGAGACTATATTAAACATGACTAAAATTTAAGTCAGTTCCAATTTCTTATTTCTAGCCAAATAATTGCCAAATGGCCTACCTATTTAGATAGACCATGAAAAAGAGCATTATGGGATTGGGAGGATCTCAAGTACAACTACAGGCTGGGTGGAGAATGGATTGAGAGCAGCCCTGAGGAAGACTTGGAGGTGGTGGGAGATGAGAAGCTCAGCCTGAGCCAGAAAATGTGGACTTGCAGCCCAGAAAGACAGCCATATCTGAGGCTGAATCAAAAGAAGTGTGGCCAGCAGGTCAAGGCAGGTGATGCTCCCCTTGTGCTCCGCTCTTGTGAGACCCCACCTTGAGTACTGTGTCATGTTCTGCAGCTACCAACATAACAAGGAGATTGAGCTGTTGGAGCCAGTCCAGAGAAGGGTCACAAAGATGATCAGAAGGCTGGAGCACCTCTCCTACGAAGACAGTCTGAGGGAACTGAGGCTGTTCAGCCTGGAGAAGGCTCCAGGGAGAATTTATAGTAGGCTTCCAGTACCTGAAGGGGCTAGGGGAAGCTGGCGAGTGGCTTTTTACAAGGGCTTGTAGCAATAGGTCACAGAGTAATGGCTTCAAGCTGAAGGAGGGTAGATTTAAATTAGATATTATGAAGAAATACTTTGCTGTGAAGGTGGTAAAACACTGGAGCAGGTTGCCCAGGGAAATTGTGGATGCCCCAGCCCTGGAAGAGTTCAAGTTTGAATGGAGCTTTGAGCAACCTGGTCTAATGAGAGGCATCCCTGCCCATGCAGGGGGGGTTGGAACTAGATGATCTTTAAGGTCTTTTCCAACCCAAACCATTCTATAATTGTACAATTTCAAATATTTATGATAAATACTGTGTTGATCTAGTGGAAGCTAACACTGTTTTAAAGGTTCAAATAGTTCTGCACAGTAGTAACCTTAGGTAATTTAAAGCAAGCAGATTGCATATACTTTATAGGACAGACCTTTTGGGTCCATAGGTCTGGCCACAGATCATAGATTTATTTAGGTCAGGAGGCACCCTCTAGAGTTCACCTAATCCAATTTCTGCTCCAAGTATGACCAGCATAGATCAAGTTGTGCAGAGATTTGTCCAGCTGAAGTCTGAAGGTGAAGTAGATTTTATGGCTAGTCTGATGCACATCTATTCTTTGAGTGTAAGTTGCTCATAAAACTTTGGAACACAGAAACTTAATGCAG